TTAGTACAATATTTGAATTTGGTTATCTTTTTGATTGTGTCATGTGTACCTATCGTCGGCGAAGCTAAGTGAGACGTGTAGTGGTATCGCGGCGCGCTACCCAGTTGTGTAATAACCGGCCGGTTGGCCACCCGCCCCACGACGCTGGCGGCTCCGTCGCTCGTGTCGTAAACTTACTGTGTTTGCTAGACACGTAGTGCAGTGCAGTGCAGTGGAGTGCACAATGGCAGAATTGTCATTGAAACAAGACCGTGCGCGTCTCCCCTTGCGCTTCGGCTCTTTCTATGAGCTTTACAAGAAGTTTCTCAAGGAGCACGGATGCAAGTGGCATGATGTATCAAAATTGCTTTCTGTGGTCGCAGAAATCCTTTTTGACGTAGATGGTGCTTGTAGTCGACTAGCGGGCAAGGTCAGTCATACAACATCGGCTTGTCGTAGAAATGTCTATCTTCCAACTTAAGTTTACTCTTCAGATTAAAAATCAAATTAAATTAAAGCATCACGTTTACAGCATAGTTTTGTCAAAATAGATGAACAAAATAAAATTCTACCAAAAAATAATAATTGCCAATAAACCCACTTGTTATTTTTTTCATTAACATTGACTACAATAAAATAGGATATAATAACAACAAAGCATTCACATTCAAGTAACATTCATGCCTCCTCGATATTATTTAACCAAGTGTTATCATATTTACGCAGATATGTCATATTTTAGGCTAATGAACTGTACAATGAAATAACTTTATTATATGTATTACTCGCAAAAATTACATAATACATCTGGAAATGTGACCGTTAAACACATTCAAAAATGTTTTGCTTTGCTTGGCCCCACTACTAACAGGATGCCATAATATAATGCGACGGCCGACCCTTTGAGGTCCCTTTTACCTGCACCCTAACAACAAACGAGAAAAACAGCTGTTCGACATTTTTAACAACATTCAGTCTTTAACGTGGCTCCGGTGTGCAATGTTAACTAATAATTCCCATGCGGTAGTAACCATGTACAAAAGTGATGATAACTTTGCTACTTGTAAACATATTGCATCAGTGTTGTTGTTTCTGACCACGACCTATCTGACCGTTCACAAAATGAAAACCTTTTGCTTGCTAAGTGTCTTGGAAAACATCATAAAATTCAATTACCCTGAGTTGATAGACGAGAAGGAATGCACACTGGTATGTCTTATTATAATAAACTTTTCAATGGCAAACGCCCATAAATTGTCGTGAAATACATGCATCGAGTTAGAAAAGTGGCAGATATTGATCTGTAATTAAAAGCAATACGGTAGTTTGTGACGACGTCGACTAATAGTGTTGAAAAATGTTAGTCGCCTAGTGAAAGTAGAAAATTATCACGCAGTGGGCAAATGTACTTATGCTTTGGTTACAGCGAGTGAGCTATTTTACGAGAATGCTATACAATTTATGTTTACAGTGTTGACTTAAATGACAACGTTACTGTGCAGCATTGAATAGCAACTACACATTTTAAAATCGTTTTTATCATGAACCCGCTTGTATTTTAACCAACAAATTATATGTTTATTGATAATTCAGACAAATACAATAAATTATTCTTGGAACCTTCTGGAATCAATCAAGGTTTTAATGCCGTATTATTAGAGAACGCGGATGGGGACAGATATGTTTAACACAATGATAAGTGTGAGAACGCACGTAGCTGGATCGTGCTGCGTTAGTTTATTATCTCAAGTCCGGTAACCCGCATCCGCTCATCTTGTATTCATTCTCAATAGATAAAACATGCTTCGAGACGCTGATTTGATAATTACTAGAAATACAAGATATGGGGTTAGGCCCGGTGATGCGTGTATAAGATAACACTGCGTGTTGGCTGCGCGCGCGTTGTGTTGAGGCTTGTCCACGTCAGACTCGGCCACCGCCGGCATTGTTCACAGCTCACACGCGCTCCACTGACCTGGTTACCTACAGCTTATTGACAGAACTGTCTTGGCTCCACTGCTCACCGTTCAGAGAAAGGTGTGCATCTACGAAACAACGATGCCTTTTTATTTCAAAGCTAATTTAATTTTATAAGTTTGAAGATGTTTACATTTATATATTTAACATGTAATGACGTCTGTAAACATTATTGTTCGGTATATTATTTATTTATTTCTAGATATCTACTTAAAAACTATGCGAAATAAAATGCAGTTTTCAGTAATTGTATTTATTCTAAAAAATTGTTACTATGCCAAAAAAATGACGTGATGAGGAACTAAATAGGACTTAACTGTCATTTAAAAATGGTTCATTAACCTTTGTCCACTTTGTATTCCTATAATAGAAATTCGCAGAATAGGCATAAAATCTACATTTCAATAATACGAAAAAACGTAGTAAAGTGTAATGCGAAGAAATGTGTTCGCGGCGGGCACCTCGGAGTGCGCGGGAGGGCGCTCCCACGGGTTGCCGATATTTTTAGTGCACGACGATTACTTGGCACCGGCGGCCGCACTCGGTTGCGCTAGTGATCTTTCTGAAATTCGTTCGCGCTTAGGTACGCTCTCGATCTCGAGATAGACCCAGTCTTATGTCCGGTGGCGAAGAAGTGGTCGTGTAAAAAGAAAGTCGCGGGAATATATCAATGTGTCTTGATAAAGGTTCTGTCGTGTAAATATGACTATTTTGGACTACTATGTGATATATCCAGGCTAAAGTGGTTCCACTAAAACAGTAAAAAAGAAACAAACAATGGCTAGTTTAAGTACCAGTGCTAGTGGCACGACAAGTCCTCGTCGTCAACGTTATAATAGATCTTCCACCACAAGCGTCACACAGCTACTGTCCGACGGTTACTCCAGTTTTATCAATCGTTTAACTCGTCGTGGACCATCTGAGAAAAGTGAAATTATTTCAGATACAAAACTTAGCACTGCGCGACCGCGATTCGACGAAAAACTCGTTTCAAACAAAAATTCTGCATTAACGAATGTGCGACGGTACGAGAACAATGGCCTCATCTCGCCATACACATCTTTGACGTCCGGTGCGCCAGCGCGGAAGTTGAACGATGACCGTACGTACTCGAGTTACCTGGGCGCGACTAAGTCGCGCGTCGACACATCACCTTTACATACTACCTCCGGGATTAACGCGCTCGGCCGCACTGATTCGTTCCGGAGAGCTCATTTAAAGGATAAATCATCACCGTTCACTAAGCGGTATCCGTTAAAAGAGTCCAACAACAACATTGATGGACTTTTGTTGGGAAGTACGCGTAGCCGTTTGGAAGACAAGTATTCGTCTGTTCTAGATAGGATAGCCGTTCAGAAGAAAGAAAGGGCTAGGAAAGAAAAAGAAGACCGTGATAAGACATTAGAACCTGAACCGTCGCTGTCCCGAGGCCTTATGAGGAGTCTTACGACAGCAGTTTTTGGTGAAAGTTCCTTTAAAAGGAATAATTATTCTCATGAAAAAATTAGAGATAAGACTCCTTTCAGGAATACCGTGGACAGACGATTGTCTTCTAGTCATAAACAAAAGGATGATTTCAAGAATGGATTTGACATTCCATTAAAAGATCGGCATTATGGCAAGGACAGAGATAGTGTATATCGAAGGCATCAAAGAAGGTCACTTAGAGCTGAAAAAAGCGAAAACAACGATAGAAAAATGGGGAAATTGTCTTTGCGTCCAATAGACATAAACATAAACCCCGCTGTTAGAGATTTAGTATCACCTCCCCAGCAAAGCATAAACGACACTTATGGAAAATCAAAAATAACAAAAACTCCTGCAGCTTCTCCGGCTAGAGAGGTGGGACGACAAAAGCAAATATATTTTCCATCGAGTGATGAAGACGATGACAAGACCCCGGTAGGAGACAGGGTGCTCAGTGAGCGAGAAACGAGGCGGAAAGAGATACAGGGACTCATAATGAAGTATGCTCACGTTGATGAGATGTACGGACGTATCGGTGAAAAGGATGTAACCGAGAATACAAATGGAATAGCTGCTCCAAAGAAGGTTGAGCCGTTGGCTGTTGGCGATATAGTGGTCCTGCCGCCTGAACTCCGCGCCCGGCAGCGGCCGCAACGACCTCGCCATCTGATGCGGCACGCGGCCACGCCGCCTGTAAGCACAAGCTAACACATCGCCTGCGCACTGTGTGCCGCTAACATATACCTGGTCCGTGGTTTTCCACATTTATTCACTATTTACATACAAATTATAACTACCGCCAATATAAAAAGTATTAGAAAACAACAAAATAAAAACAGTTGGCTCAGAAGTTTCTTATGAACATTGTGGGTGCGTGTGTTTCACTACAGTTTAGAGCGTACCACATATCGGAAAGAGTAAATGTAAAATATAATCAATCATGAGAGGGTAACATAGAAAAGCTTAGCGCGAGCAACTAATTCACATGGCAGTTGAGTTATACAGAAACAACTAATAAGAACAATGATAGTGCATGTCCTAAATTTCTTTGTGCGTGGTTTAAAAGCTAACATGTGTCTTCTGTGTGTTAAAATATTTTCAAAAACAAAAATTAAAACAAATTGCGTTAGTTCTGTTTCCCGTATATAATAATGTGTTAAATAAAATAATTGTTAGTTAAGAGGTTCGGGTGGACATTTATCCTAAATCACCTGTGTGGATGTAGATTGTGCTAGTGATCGGAATGCAAGTTGTGTGGCATATTCCAATATCCCGGAACGCCCCGGTCCCCTTCCTGGCCGCGCGGTGCTCGGCCGGCTCGGCCCCGCTGCGCCCACCCGTCCGCCCTCTAACAGCATGCCTCCGACACACCATACCAATTGTCGCTTGTCTGACGGGCAACCGTTCCATTGTCTGATTGTTGGGTACAACACTACTCGGGTCGTGCGGATCGTGTGGCGCGCTCTCCGTGCTTGGCGGGCTTGTGCTGGTGTGGCGTGATGTCTGCGCGGCGCGGCTCGGCGGCTTGTGCGGCTCGGCGGTGACCTCGTGCGGCGGCGCGGCGCTGGCGCATGCAGAGCTCCCGGGCACGCTCCTCCGTCAAGGACGACAAGGACGGACATCTGGTCTACTGGCCCGGATATGTCATGGGAGCGAGATGTTCGTGTCCACACCCATAACTTAAACAACTTTTTACACAACACACACACACAAACACACACACACACACACATACACACACATCTGCCCAAATAAACCCATACAAATACAAGTTTTTGACACAAAACAAAAGATTAAACATACATACAAACATTACATACATACATAAAAAAATCAGTACACTTTCAGAATATAACTATAACTTCATACTTGTTACACTATGACTCACACAGAACCATAACACTACTCGGCAGATGGCTGAAAATTCAACAAGAAACGAGTTTTCTCACACATTAACCATCGCCAAGTCCTCGCAGTCAGTGATTCGTGTTTTGAAGATTTCAGACTTAAATTTTTTTGCTTTTTAATTGTATTTTTATACTTTTTGATAAAACTAAACAAGATTACAGAATCCAATTGGATGTGAAATGAGTCATGTTGGAGCCTCGCACGTTGGTTGCCAGTAACTATTTGTTATTTCCTGATACTGAAAAGTTGATGTTCTCAAGAATTGACATCATAATTCTCAGAGTCTGCTAACGTGTATCAGTGAACTAATAGTGAATGGAATACCAATGCCGATTCCATCATGACTTTGTGCCGAGTACATTTGATTAATTATGTTGCCTTGGTTTTATTTCAGACAAAATCATCGATACGCTCGGTGAGGGCACCTTCGGCAAGGTGGTCGAGGTGAAGGACTTGGAATTGTGAGTATCTTTCTTTATAGTTTAACCACGACAACATAACAGTAACTGTAAGTTCTTTCGACTCCTGCGATAGTATCACAGCCACGCTGTACTTGTGACTCGTGTAAAATGTGTAAGTCTCTCACTACATTTGCATATCGCTTTGTATTCTGTATTAAAAAGTGAACCACATTTGTATGTTAATACAAAACATTAAACCAAGCTAACATTTTATATCTGAAGGATCAATTTGTTGAATGAATTGAGTTCTGATTGTGAGGTGATGAGGTGTCGTTCACATTGGCGCCGGATGATGACGCATTGTTTGGCAGGACACGCCTCGCTAGTTATTCATTTCTATTTTCATTTGTTTATAGAAACACCGACAATTTTTAATACTTATTGCCAAATTCCACGTTTTATATCCAGAAATAAAGCATGTCTAATTATACATTACAGGGAGCACAGAATGGCTCTGAAGATAATCAAGAATGTTGAGAAGTACAGAGAGGCTGCAAAACTCGAGATAAATGTATTAGAAAAGTTAGCTGAAGTTGACCCTGATTGTAAAAAGTGAGTGTATGATATTATTATGTGTTATTATTGTGCACAACGTCACATGTTGATAATAGTCGAGGCTGGAGCGGGCGACGCGCGACGTCGGCGAATGTAGCAATATTTGACCTTGCACGTTTATATGCGACGTTACTGCTCCTGGCTGGCTAGTCGCCAAAGAAGAACCCCGATGTCAACTCCTAACACACAAAAATACCGTCTGCGCGCTACACCGGCTTTACATATTATTTGATTCCATGTAATTCATTGTATGACGACATCTTGTACAGGTTATATAAAAAGAACCCCTTTATTTTTAGTGCTAAGTGGAAATTTTTTCTAAACGCTGTATTATTACATTTCAGCTTATGTGTTAAGATGTTGGACTGGTTCGAGTACCACGGACACATGTGCATCGCATTTGAAATGCTCGGCCAGAGTGTATTTGACTTCCTGGTGAGTGTCAAGTTATTATTATCGTTAGTTATGTTGCATATGTAACTGTACAATTGAACAGTCATACGATAAACGTTATTAGAAACAAGTTATAACTTCAATGGTAATGGTTCTCCAACATGCGGGGTTTTTACATTGTCCCGACTTTATTACCCGTCGAGGTTGAGTCATTGATTTTGACAATTTCAATTAAACTTTAATAGAGATAATTTTGACAAATATTTCCTTGGTTTTTGTAAAATTCGACCTTGCTATCAATAATAGCAACTTCTGTATGTACATAAAACACGGTTAACATCGAGGAAATTATTTTACCCATAAACTCTTTGTCCAGTTATAATGACACATTGCACCAATTAAAGCAATATTTTGGTTTTCCTGACCACATTATTGCCTCTTTGTTGACTAGTTCCTATAAGGTAAATTGTGTGTTTATTCTGACTTCAAAACGCGTAATAACTGGTATTTAGTCTATCCCATAAAATTGTTCACATTCCATAAATATAAAATCGGATTTACGCATGACTGCGTCCATTCGCACTCACAATCATATATCTGCATTTCCCGCTGACGTCCTAATTTTTGGTCCAGAGCCAGTGTCTTCACTCAGTTGACACATCCTGGGATAATCGCAATATTATCAATTTACTTTGAGATTCTATACGTAGACAATAATACATCTGTCAATAATTAAAGTTATTTAAATATCGAAACGAACCCTGCGAGTAAACTCACAGGTAAGATGTTTTTTATAAAGATAATATTAACATTTTTTTATGTATTTATAGAAAGACAATAATTACCAGCCGTACCCGCTAGAGCAGGTCCGGCACATCGCGTACCAGCTCATATACAGCGTGCTGTTCCTACATGACAACAAGCTCACACACACTGATCTCAAGCCAGAGAACATTCTCTTCGTCGACAGCGACTACGAAGTCGTCAGCGTGTACAACGCCTCTAAAAAGGTACAAATTCTATATCCATAATATATGTATATGTTATCTAAGGTTTTACACTGTAAAAAGCAATAACCGAATTGAAAAATTAAGTGACAAACACAGTTCACTAATCTGTCGCCCATCAACAAATATGTTAAATATTTTTGCGAGTTGGCAGAGTTCCGCTGACGCATTTACTTTTATTATATGTGTGTATAATAGAATCATAGAACATTCGGCCGGATTCCATATAACAATGCAATAAATAAATGTATTCGATGTTTGTGGGAAACGTGAAAAATGTTAACGATCTCCCAAATGGAACAGTTCGATAGCAGTTGGTGTAGACTTGTAGTTAGGTATAGCGCGTTGAATCAGTACACCACGTGCGATGGCCAAGTAATGACTAATCACTTCTCAATATAGAACACTCGCTATTTTCGTCATTTTCACGAGAATCTCTACTGTTACAGTTTTTAAATTATTGTATTACTGTTCCATGATAATCGATTCAATGTTCATATATATATATACACAGTATCCTGATGTCATTGTATTTTGTTTACAGAAACATGACCTAATGCGTGTGAAGCGAAGTGACGTCCGGCTCATTGACTTCGGAAGCGCCACCTTTGACCATGAGCACCACAGCACTATCGTGTCAACCAGGCACTACAGGGCGCCCGAAGTTATACTAGGTACGGCATCTGTGTACTATGGAAACTTTGCATTCTTTATGTGGTATGAATGTAACAAGAAAATAAACCTAAAATTAATTATTTGATTCGATTTTTGGTCGAGCCAGTAATTTGCTACTTCCTTTGTAATGGGGAGCCAATTTGAAAACTTGAATCAAACACTGGGCACATTGCCAGTTATCATGCTATGACTGATAACTGATGCAATAAAATAAATTTATATACCCCCAAAAATATAAATACAACTCAAGAAGACTTTTAGAGATATGTAGCTACACAATATAATTCCTACATTATTATGTCATACATAGTTATAAAATATATTTTTTTGTGTAACTTGTGATAGAAAATTTATTCCTTTCCAGAACTGGGGTGGTCACAGCCGTGTGATGTTTGGTCTATTGGCTGCATCATGTTCGAGCTCTACCTTGGGATCACACTCTTCCAAACACATGACAATAGAGAACATCTCGCCATGATGGAGAGAATCTTAGGACCTATACCCTACAGGTATGTGTAATATCATGTAAAATGTAAAAGTATACTAGACATTGTCTAGCTTTTTAATAGTTAAACGTCTTTGAGTCTTAATTTATGATTGTTTGTGTTATTATGTCGTCTATAAATTTCAGAACTCGCCAATGTGTCTGCATTCTTAAAACCCAAAGTATGTTGGTTATATTGGTGTGTTTACACTGGCGCTGTGAATACTCTGATGTCTTTGTTTACTCGCGCACCGCTCCACTTTACCCAACTCTGTATAGCCTGTATGCCGAACCGTTTAAATAAACACACCGATTTGTTCCGTACACATGAGTACCGCTTGATATAAATACTTGTCTGGATTTTAAACTAAACCAGAGCAATTATTATCGTCGCATACCGGCCAACCAACAAATTAATTTTAACTATCTTATTTGTGTCGTTTCAGAATGGCGCGCAAAACCAAAACAAAATACTTTTACCACGGCAAATTAGACTGGGACGAGAAATCGTCAGCTGGCAGATACGTCAGAGAAAACTGTAAACCACTAATGGTGAGTAGAACCACAAATAGTAATCACAGCCTAGCTAGCGATGTTTTATTTTATTATCAAACATTATTGTGCAAGTAAATACGTGTTAATATAAACGTAGGTTAGCGATCACGAGAAAGTTGCGTTTCTGTTACCACTATGCGTCTACTTCTACCCACGACCCGTTATCTGATTAAAATTATAATTAAAAATAAAAAGTCACATAGACACACAGTCTGCTCCTAAGTATGTATTGTCTTTGCACGTCGAATATATGTATAATATATTATAAATAATATATCTAGGCCAGTAATTCAAACCTAATACAAACGTGTGGTTTTTACAGAGGTACCTGCAGAGTAACAGCGAAGAATCGCGGCAGTTGTTTGACCTGATCGCGCGCATGCTGGAGTACGAGCCCTCACAACGGATCACGCTACGAGAGGCACTCAAGCATCCTTTCTTCAACAAACTTCCACAGCACCAGAGGCTCGGTTAGTATAACATATTGGCTTGAGCTAAGTTTACATCGTAATAAAAGAAATAAGTCAGAAAAATAACACGATCCTTATCCTGTTTGGTTAAAAACGTACGTTTTCATATCAATATCATATTACAGTCAGGTGTTATACATGAATTTTGATACTACATTAATAATGAAAATTAGTTCTAAACAAGCATATTTAAAAGTGAACACAAATATATTTTATAAAAGAAACTCTTGAACGTTTCGTAACTCATAAAGCTGTAACTTGTGACAAGTGATCTTTTGTTATAGGACACCAGTTTACAAGGCCATCGTTCCTTAGGTCAGGCCTATTTGTCGTTAGATGCTTACTTTTTAAAGCTTTTCTGTATTTACTTATGAAACACATGTTGCGACATGACGTTCATTATGAATTGGTTTTAAATTGTGCTGTTAGTGTGTCGTTGATTTCTTTCGCTTATTTTATTCACTTTTTTTCGTTTTAACTTGCTCTGTTGATTTTTATTTTCTTATATTTGAAATCGGCAATGAATTCATTATGTTAAACTGCGCTACTCACTTCGTCGCATTTGAAAACTTAATACAGCAATAGGTATGAAACTGTTATGTAAAACGAATTATGTGCGAATAAATAATATACATTCATATATTGTTACGTAGTTTCATACACTGTTGCATTCGTATCATGAAGTTCTAATAATGAGTTTAGAAACATAAAAATATTTAAACCATAGACCACCATCTCCTGGCTTATGCCATCACAGACTCATATTTATTAAAATAACTGAAGTCTTTCTAGTTTGCTTGCATGATAATTGTTTTTATTATTGTATATTTATGTTCCAAATAAGAACTTGATGATTGCAAAATATTATATTTTTAATTTATTGTTCCATTTAGCTGCTGCTTAAACATTTTCACTAGAAAACGTAAGTTATGGGAATGTATGTGTTACAGGCAATGACCGGTTGCGATGCAATGGTGAAAGCTCAGCGTCCCGCGAACGGTCGCACTCGCTCAGCAGGTGAGCGGTAGTCGGGCGCCGTGAGGCTCGAGCCGCCGGCGTCTGAGTCCCGGCCCGGTCCCCGGCCGCCCCGCCCGGTCCGGCTCGGCTTGGCCAGGCCCGGCCCGGCCCGGCGGCCCGCAGTACAGCGATAGTCAAAATGGCGCGGCCGCATCGTGCCCGCCGTCCGTGTAAACTTGTACAGTTGTAATGAAGTGATAAGTGATAATTATTTTGTCGAACATTGTAATCTAGGTAATATTTTGTTGTGAATCGGTACTTCTCAATTTGTATTTATAAAGTAACTATTATTCGAAATAAAGACTGTCAGTCTGATTAAACTTGTATTTTTTTTATTCACATTATTAAACAATCTCCATGTACCCACACCGCAAAGGCCACCGCTGGTTGATAGATTGGATAGAAATAAACAAAGAAGTCTCGACTATGTTAACTTTGATAATCTGTGTATGTTGGTATACAGATTTTCACATGACATGACACACTAAGTCGAAATAGAAATAAAAAAATAATTTCTCCATTTTATGTTCAAATTAAAAATAACTTCAAATATAGATAGAATAAACTAAAAGAAGAGAGAATCCGGATTTTTTATAAAACTATCCCCAGTCCCCATGTGTGTTGATGGATGGATTGGGTGGGAGTTACCTTCTGACCTCGAAGCTCTATGAAACCTAGATGTGTTACAACACAAAACTTGACTTTCTGACGAAGGCTTAAGAATCGAGAACCTGGAGTAAGACACAAAATAAACTTCATAGACATAGATAGATAACATAGTACCAATTAACCACTTGAATATCGGTATATAAGACGCACGAAAGGTTAAATTAGGTATTAGAAAATAAATATAAAAAAATATTGACTATACTCGGAATTTTAATTCCAGATTTGAGAATTTCAGTGTTGCAACGTTATGACAAGTACTAAATAGTGACGTTGCGAAATTATTCGATATGGAAATGGAATATTTTAATATACTAAACTAAGTTTATCAGGAACTTAAATATTTCTGAACCGATAATTTAGTTTTAACAATTAATTACCGATCTAAGGCTTTTCTTTTACAATAGTGTGTTAAAATAATAAAAAATGTGATAATGAGGGAACATAACAAATAAAACAGATAGATGTATTATGGTAATCATTTATAACGTATTATAAATTTTCGCCGTCATCGCTATCGCTATATCGCTGTTACTTTCTGTGACATTTATTATGAATTGTGTCTGTGATATTTATTGACAATTAATATCACATCTAGCTCTTACTCATTTTTTCCTCTTCTTTGACAGCATGGGATACGCATTCAGACCATTCGGTAGCGGTAATTTTTTGAATGCCTTCGTGAAACTGATTCACTGATTGTTTATCGATTTTTGTGTTCATCACTACACTGTTAAATGTGGTATCATTATTTCACAAAATGACAGTAAGTCATGTCAAATCTGTAATCGAATTAAAATTCTGACTATAGACGAATATGTAAAGAGGATAATTACTAATCAAATCAGCGGTTCTCGGATAAACAATGTCAATTTGAGACAATTGTTATTGCTTCAGATTCTGTTTCACATAGCTCCACAGCTATGAATAGTTTTATTCGTTATGATTAAACTAGTTCGGACTGATAGAATATAGTCGAATAATACGGCAACATTCTTTTTGACTCTGAAGCTATAGTACAAGTAGAATAACATAGTTATTGACTATTGCTTGTTGATATTATAATCAATCCTAAATAAATCTTGGCAATGATACGAACAATGTGTGTCTAGGTATTTGTTATTCAATAGTTAGTAAACAAACAACAGCAGTATGTTACAATCAATTTATTTCAAAAAATTACATATAAATACCGTACATTTATGGTTTAAGTTTTAACTTATAGGTACTATAATTTTAAAGGAACGTCATGCAATTTATTCTAATTCTAATGTACACATTATAACCGCAAACCGACCTCAATATACATTGCAATAACATAACATGAAAAATACAAAACCTGCTTGATGGCTATAGGCGACCTTAGTTACCAAGCAATAATTTCATTAATAAATAACACTTAAGTACAAAATAAAACTAATTTCAAGGTTGCTTTTGGAATGGTGAATAAATAACAGCATGGGTCGTCACACACACGCAACGTAGTGTACCTACATCGCTGTTAGAAGTAGTGTAATGTGTAAAGTGAATATTGTAATAATTCACCGCAGAGGCCAGGGCGCGTGTGTCGCGACCCGCGAATAAATATAAACAACATCAGGCGGCACAATAAATGCCTCTTGTATCTCGTAAAATATAATTTCAGTCACTTAAACCGCCATATACGTTAAGTTCACTTAACAAATCCATTAGAACAGCCCGTTGGTCATCAGTACGATCGACTTAACAAAATAAATATTCGAAGCTAGATTCCGAGAACACTGTTAGCGCTTGAAACTATGTAATGGTGTAATGGATTAACTCGTTATTTATCGCAACACTGAGATAGAAGGTATTACCGGGTCTTCGACTGCTAGGACAATGCAGACAAGATGGTATTTACAAAGTAACACTATTGGCGATAAATTCGAGACAAAACATATAGGTACATATATGACACATTACATTCGACGCGTAATATCAGAGGCGTGTGTTGCCAACTCTTTGTTAGGTACTTACTTTATAAACATGTTTTTTAATCTAAGGCAGTTATCCCATCGGTGGCGATGAGCGACATTATAAAATCTCTGTCACTGTCATCTGAATATAACGATGATAGAATGAACATAATTATAATTCCGAATACGAGCATCGTGGTGCAAGTTTTGCTGAGTATGATCATTGATAGCTTTTGTCGCTCAATAACGAGCTAGTGAAGCGACGTCTCGCCTGTTAATTTCATCTCTTATTGTAAGAAATAACTAATAGTCAATCGGGACCTCGCAGAAGATGGAATAACTGTCTTAGGAGAGTCGTAACACTGCGCTGCGACGAATATCTACACGTCGCAAATATACGACGCAATGAGACATACCAAACCGATGGTTAACTTTTACGTCGATGCATTTTAGATGCGACTGGTGCGTCGTTGCAACGTAGTGTTACAGCCTCGTTATAGGTAAGCTAGTTTGAAAATGGCGTCGTACAAGGTGTGTGTTGTGTCCAAGCGCTGTGAGTAGTTCACTAGATCATGTCGACGCGCATGACGTCGTCGCGCGGCCACGTGTACACCGGCGGGACGGCGGACGAGTACCGCACGTCGTACATCTGCGCGCGGATGAATGCCTCCGTGTTCTCTGGCTGCGGGAACACTGACGCCTTGCCTGGAAACAAAATATAGGCAACGTTTATCAGTTAATTGAGTGAAATCAATGTTAAGGATTCTTATGAAGACCCGAACACGCCAAGGTGCGATAAACAAAAATAAATTACAACTTTTAAAAACCCCGGCAAATAGCAAAAAAAACTCTTTAAAAAGTAAAAAAAAATTCCTAACAAAAATACCTCGCGAGGGGTGACCGTAAAAAAATAGTATATCTATAATTAAAAATTTGGAGCGGAAAAGCTTATACTAGCGTATGAAGCGATGATTTTATAGATATTTTATATCATTTTATATTGCTAAGAGCACTCTCAATTAAGTCATTAACAAACATTCCCTTTCAGTGCGCTTTCATTTGGGACCCCAGTCGAGTATATTTGCAGGCCTTCGGTTACCCTGCCCCACTTACACCCCCATAACGTCCAAACGACTCAACCGATTTTCATCAAACATGTCTAAGAACACCCGCACGTAGGTCGCTTTTAATACGAAAAAACTAAATTGAAATCGCTTCATCCGTTCAGGCTCTAAGATGGCACAGACAGACAGACAAACCCCCTCTTTTTACATCGGGGGTTAAAAATAGGCCTTGATGGCACATTTTAGAATGTTCCTAACTTCTTGTTGATTGGCCTAGTCATTACCACGCAGGCGGGAATTTGATTATTATATGTTCCATTTTTAAATACCTCTTATTTGTTTTCGTTCCGTTATTATTATCACCTAAGTACACGTTTAGTTTCTTTAGTTCAACAACCTATGTATTCCTGAGATCGGTATATTTTTAGCCTGGCATGCTTCAGAAACAGAAATTCCAATTTGTCTACACTAATATCGCGCAGGTATTCGAGAAAACGCTTAATAAATGAACTTCATATTTCATTCATTTAATAGAGATGGGAGCTAAAAATAAATTTTATTTGCCGACAGTGTGACGCATGTACAAATTTTATGTCTGCCCACGTTGAAATCTTTATCGGCATAATAGACATATGGTCGGACATTAGACAAATTTAAAATACCTATAATAATAATATAATGACGAGGTCACGCCAAACGCGCCGCGGTCTACATTACGAGATATTTCCGTAAACCTCAACATGCAAACGCTATGATTCATCGACCAGCTAAGAATACAATAGGTACGAAAAGGTAGGTACCTACTCGACGATTGTTTCTTGGAAAATGATTTTAGAACTTTGCTTATGACCAAATTGTTCTAGATTCGTATCAAATTTTGCTTTTTTATTTAAGCAACTTAGCCCTGGAACGTTACAGATTTTGTTGGTCTTCGGATTCTCGTAATATGTAGATAATAAAGATAAATTACCTACTAAACAGAGGCTACTGAACATTTTACCAGTCACATTTTTTACAAATAAATAAAAACAATAGAAGTACCTAGATCCTAAGATAATTTCGTCTTTATGTCTAACAAAATAAGACCGTTACAATTTCAGTATCGACGAACAACGAAATTACCTACACAGCTACATCTTACGCGCCAATGTTTATATAAAATGTTATTTTTGCATTCTTTTATCCGCCTTCGACCTTGTGCGTCACAAACTTACTACTTACCTAAGTACTTATTAAAACGTAAACGCGTCTAAATCAACATTATATTTACGCGGGTATTAACGCGGAAAATTATAATTTGAATACCTTGGTAGGCTTGACGTTTCGACCCGGTTGCACAGGTCGTGGTCACAAGCAGACTCATAATTTTCCGCGTTAATACCCGCGTAAATATAATGTTGTTAAGATGAAACGCGAAAGTTTAAAAGTTAGCGTCTAAATCAAGTCAAGTCAAAATGAGAATGTGAGATTTCTTCTAAAAACTTCAAATCAAAATCTGGTCTAATATTGTAAAGCTGTAGAGTTTTATCTCTCATGATAGGTACTGATGCCATTTTTTATTAGATGAGACATTTATCTAGAAAGGCTACAAACCATCACGCGACGAACAATAATAATAAATAAAAAAACCTCAAATTATTTGGACTAAGTAAATAAATCGACTGACTCAGTCTATCTAGTCAGGTGTAAAAAGAAAAATATTATCCAGATAGGCCGACTTTTTAACAAGTGCTGGGAAGTGATTATCGATAAAATCGCTAAGGCGATTTTGCGCTAGGTTAGCGAAAGTCTAAGAATCCTTTGCTAATTGCTAATATACTTACCTATAATAAATCAGTGAGCAGTGGGTAAAGACAAAACGGCGCAGAAGCACCTAATACCTGAAGTAAAGAAAAGGTATAAGTACTGACCAGTTTGGTAAGCGTGTTCGACGATCTTCTTGGCAATCTTGACGGAGCAGTTCTGAATGTCCTTGAGGGGTGGGTACAGGCTACCCTGGTCCAAGTCCTCTTGACGCACTATCTCTGCCAACGCCTGGTTAAGCAGAATATCAGAGTTAATACACAAATAACAATATTAGGTACCGTAAAACGGGATGAATAGAATTTGAGGGGTGAATGAATGTTGGCAAATTTTTCTAGTATCTATTTAATTCTCGCAAAAAGAGGGTAGTTTGAGCTATAACCTTAATATATGACTGTTTTTATATAAGAAAATGTTTCGTTTCAGGTTAACTTAGTGTTTTATGCTCAAGCTTTCAATTTCCGAGATGACCATTATTTTTTGATTACCAACAAATTATCGATTTTCATATTCTCCTTATTCGAATATTCGTTTTCCGGTATCTATCAGAAGTTGGTATTTTATGCATATTGCTATTTAAGCTGCATTTTCTAAACTTGGTATTATCTACACGTCACGCCTAAGACGTTAGACAAAGATCGAAGAGAAATCGGCGTGAAACAACCACAGCCTTGTGTGTCGTCCTGTGAGTTAGATTACCGGAAGCTCAATCCAATAATTTCCAAATTCCTTATCCCCAAAAAATCGGCAACGCACTCCTAAGTCCTCTATCGTTGCTTCGTCAGGTAATCCTTATATAGATAATTTACTCGTTTGCCGACCTATCACTTAAAATAAATCTGTCTAGCGTGGAGAATAGCAAACTCCCACTTGAAAAAGATAGATCAATCAATGGATTTATAATAAATATGAAGGTATACCTCAGCAGCAAGAAGCATGAAGTCCTCGGAGATGTCGATGATGCCGGCGCAGATGATGCCGAGAGCCAAGCCAGGGAAGATGTAAGAGTTGTTGCCCTGTCCCGGCCGCAGGATGCGACCGTCCTTCGTGCGGTAATCCGGGAATGGGGAACCCGACGCGAAGATCGCACGCTCCTATTCAAATAGTGGATAATTTTCAATACAATAACATAATAATATAAAAAGAAACTGTAAAGAAGAATAAGAAAGAAGTAAGAGAAGAATATGAAACTATTCTGAATGTATTTTTGTATTTATTTTGATCTCCAACAAAAATTACCTACACCTTACATTCTAAATATAGAACATTGTTGTTGTATATTGTAAAGTAGTTATAAAAAGTCAAGGTAATCTCAAAAAAATCTGCAATTTCTATAAAATAGAAGACTAGATCATGATCAAAGAAGAGTCATTCCATTCACAGACAGTGCAGACCATACTTGTAAAGAACGTAGTACGTTTATAACGTGCATAACCTAGGTCTTCAAGGCACGAGTGAACAGCTGACTTAAGGGTAGGCGTGCTCCATCGTAGGTCACATCATCATTAGCCTATAAGTGCCAACTGCTGAGCAATTTCCTCTTCTCCCACGGAGAAGAGGTTTGAGCATTAATTACCACGCTTGCTTAAAGATTGGTGTTTTTAAGCTTATACTTAGAAATTCAGTCTAAAAGTTCAGTAAAAGAATATTATGCACGTACATCGGTGTTAGAGTAGGCGTCGATGGCGGTGCACTCAGCCTTGCTGGTGGGGTTGGAGAGTGCGAAGATGACGGGCCGGTCGTTGATGGCGCCCATCTTGCGAAGGATCGATGGGGTAAATGCTCCACCGATGGCCGCAGCACCTGCAACACAACATGGTATATTACTGACTTACTAGAGCAGGAGAAGGAACGGGGGTTTGGGGGGCTGTTTAAGAGTCTGACATTCCCTCTCACCTCTCAGTTGATGATTTTTCCCTAAAAAGTGTTATGTTAGTATTGTTTGTGAGTTAACAAACAATTTGGAAGTGAAACTTTTTCTATTTTTTGCTCGATCTGTGTCTCCATAAATTCTTATTATTTTTAATTACAATCAATGATTAATGAAATTTCAATAAATGATGTAAGTATTCATCTATATTATCATATTTATCTTTTGGCTGGCGTTCAAAGGTGCCTATAGTAATCTAGTTGAACATTTAAATAAATAATTTGGATTTAACTTTGAATTCGTGGTCCGGGCGAAAAATCATAATTCAATTAACGTGTATCTAAATTTGAGAGTATATTTAACAACCACTGCCTTAACTGTTTTCTGTAATAATCAGTTTTATCAACTTACCAATAAGCACGGAAGGCTTGGCAACATCGACGACCTCTTCTAGAGTGCGAATAGGCGCATGGTCCTTAGCGAACCTCTCTTTATGCTCGTTGACACCTCCCTCGGGTCTGTTCTTTACGATCAGACCCTTGGAGTCTACCATCCAGATGCGAGAGCGAGCCTTCTCATCGGAACAGCCCTCAGCAATCATGGCCATTACACACAAACTGGCGATACCCAAAGATGCCTGGAAATAAAGAATGTTTGCTATAGAAAACATATCGAAAACTGTATTTGAAATCATTATATATATGATTAAGAAGATGTGTATGGAAATCAAATTTGGCTGAATTAGCATTTGTAGTTTTTTCTCCAACAATCTTGACCAAAGATGTCGATACCTCGAATGTCGTCGAGACTAATCAAAGACTTCTCATATTATGCCGACATATTTATTGGTTTTTCCTCACTATCGTCAAGCAGATAATTTCTTCTGATGAACAAAGGCCGAAACCAGTTGCAGACTGCCTTAATACTTTTATGTCTACTGAAAACCCATTTGTATATCAACTACACTCTTGACACCATAACAAAATCGTCGACCAATTTAAGCCGAGGTCTGCCCAACACTTGGATGGCAGTGTCCGTAATCGGGAATTTACTACTGTCAGTTCCAAGAGCTATGTAAGCATACCATTTCCATTTTAATTTGCCGATCTTAAAATAGACCCTATGTCTATATGATACGGATGAAAGAGCATTATCACAAAGTTTATGTAAGGAGATATGTACCTCTCCAGCGCCTTGGAAGACGATGGTGTTCTCGGAAAGTTTCTTCCCAGTGATGCGCAGACTGGCCAGCAGTCCTGCCACTGCCACCGAGGCCGTGCCTTGGATGTCGTCGTTGAACGTGCAGTACCTGAACAAGAACATTCAGAATTCATTCAGCATCTTGAAACAAATCTATAGTGTGTAAATAAAAATTTAAACACAACACATATAATAACAAAAGAGGTACTGCATATTTCTAGAGGAGTTTCTTCCTGCAGACGTACTACAGGAAAAATAATTAAAAACAAAATAATGTATAATCAACAAACAAAATAAAGAGATGAAAGTTTTAACTTAAATTATTGATAATTATATTCGGGCAAAAAGAGTTTACCAGAACAGTCAAGGGGCTTAAAATTGATGATGGAGATTTTCGAAATTGATGACCGCTCTTTGTGGAGCTAGTATTATGAATCTTGTCAAAGTGTAATGCTACTTACTTTCCGCGGTACTTCTCGAGCAGACGGAAGGCGTTAGCGTTACCGAAGTCCTCGAACTGTATGAGACAGTTCTGTCCGTAGCGACGAACGACTGCGTCCATGAACTCGTCGATAAACTCGTCGTACTGAGGGCCTCGCACGCGGCGCTGGCGGAGACCGATGTATAGCGGGTCATCCAACATCGTCTGGTTGTTTGTACCCACGTCTGAAATATATCATTTTTATTATAGTTCTCGAATTATATCTTACTACATTTTTATGTCATAAGGTCTGCAAACGAGCAGATGGGCACTCGTAATACCAAAGGCGACACACAATACGTACTAGACTAGACTACAAGTGCGCTGCCTTGCTGCACAATAGGCTTGCCGGCCTATTGTGGGTTATCAGGGAATTGAAGACTAGGGTGGGTGGTATTCCATCTCATATTTATATCCCATATTCCCTCACATATTATTCACCTTTTACATACCTATATTTTAAATAAAATCACACTTTATAAAACGTGTTATAAAATGTACACGCTTTACTATGAGCCTATATCGTATCTTGAAACTAATCAAGTTAGTTCGGTAAAAAGGGAAAATTATGAGTAAGCCCGCTTGAAATTGGGTGGTTCAGGACTACAGGTTAGGTGAGGCACAGAAAAGTTTTCTTTGTTATCGCGACAAACATCGATCGAAAACTCACACGATAAATAAGTCTTACACTTAGTACAACAGTAACTTACCCAAGGTGATAGGCAAGCACTGATGCGGCTTGATTCCAGCGAGGGCGGTGTATAAGGAAAGCTTGCCGACCGGGATGCCCATACCACAAGCTCCCAAATCTCCCAGACCCAGGATACGTTCGCCGTCAGTTACCACTATAGCTCGGACGTCAGTTTCGGGCCTGGCGATGAAAATAAGATGGTTTTTTTTAATACTACAAATAGTATGTACGAAGTAGTGAATAGAATGGTCTTGTAGGTGAATTTGATTTAAAATGTATTGTATAAACAACAACAAAGGTTAATCACGAATTGTGGCACAATAAAGAAGAGGAGAGAACTGAGGAATGACAAATTATAAAGGACAAGACGACAACGAATATGGAATGAAATATTAAGGCGAAGGCTTAAACAATGGCTACGAATATGGCAGAAAATGGGACAAGAAGTGGACGGAAACAGGCTGATAATAGAACTCTTCCAAAATTAAACTCACCAGTTCTTAAGTATATCATAGATATGCCCCTTATCGTGGATGGTGATGAAGAGTCCCCTGGGGCGTCGGTACACAAGCCCGTACTTCTGGCAGGCCAGACCTACAGTGGGCGTGTACACGATGGGCATCATATCAGCTACATTCTCACCAACGAAGCGGTAGAATAAGTGCTCGTTGCGGTCCTGGAACATATACATATTATTATACTCAAAGTTATTAGTGCTACTTATGAGCAAGGGTTCTTTAAGTTCGAGTGGGCAAGTATTGTTGGGTTTCTGAATTCGTTGCAAAGTTTCGAATTTTGTTATAAGATTCGCACCGTAGGATAATGTAACTGTGACATGCAAATGAATAATAACTTACATATATCTCATTTTTACCTATAGGAAGTCATTTTTGAAAAGGGTCAGCACCAAAGAGATTATAACCACATGTCGTGTTGGTAAAATATGCTCTAAGCTAGAAAACCTTTATCAAAACGTGAAAATAGTTGAATGGCTGCTAACAAGGGTCGTATGCCTGTAACGTGGGTAGTTAGCGCGCAAAACTACTGCAGTTCAACGTGAAGCAAAAGTTTATAATTGGTTTACTTGTTGCAAAGTTGTGCGAACATTGTAGGTGGTGGCACGGCTGTCCGGTCCACAATTTAATATCTTAGGAATTAAGTTATGAAATTGGTTCTTCAACTTGTAGAGTGTATGTAGATGATAGCGTTATTAACTACTAGCTTCCGTACGCGGCTTCGCCCGCGTGGTCTGTTGATAAAAAGTAGCCTATGTTCTGTTCCGGAGTGTATCCTATGCCTGTGCCAAATTTCATCCAGATCCGACCACCCATTTTGGTGTGATAGAGTAACATACATCCAAACATCGTAACTTGCGCATTTATAATGTCATTCTAGAAGTAATTGTGTTAATCGAATAATTATTTTATAAATAATATCTAGTTGATGAGCGATACTCATAAATTGAATCTGAATTCAAAATTTTCCTACTTTAGTTCACGCCATGAGAAATATTTCCATCGTCTCAACTGGTCAACTGTGAGCCAAATTAATTAAAGCACTAATCGAAAACTAAATTGTAATTGCAATGTCATTTACAATAATGTCCGTTAGTGTGTGGGTAGGAAGTCCACCGCTTGTACAACCTTGTATTGACAGGATTTATGCTTTATGGATCCCTTCACTACGGTTTAAGTAACAGACAATTTATAGTTTTGATATGGACAACATTAGAAAATTTAAACACTGTAGTATTGATTGGAAAGTGAAATGGAAGCCACTCACTCCAATATAGGAGGAAATCCTAGTAAGTAAATGTAAAAAAAAGAAAATTCCGATTTCTTTAAATTTCATGCTCAGATACTTGGCCGTCATTACCTAAATAACTACATATACATAGTTATAAAGCTACTAACAATAGATACATTTTTATTATTCCTTAATACAATACTTGATTCTCAATCTCCATTATATTTTAAAATCTTAAACTAACTGCAAAGTACGTGATTGTTACAATTTTCCTACTAAGAAGGTCTGTCAGTCTCTTTGTCTGAAACGTCATGAATATCCCGACCCGGGGAAAGCAAAATATCCTTATTTATTATGGACGAAGCACCGAAATAAATATGGAAAGATGTCTTCCATTCATAAAAGCTCAACGGAATATTTTCGTAGAAAAATGATTTGATAAGAGGTATTTACCCTAACGATATTTCATTGGAAAACTCAAGTAACTAGGTAAAATATAACTTTATTTTTATACGAAGGAAATTAATTTCTTTTAATAAGCTGCAAACTAGGTCCAGATTATATTATTTAAAAAATGTGTGTTGCACACCGGGCACAATACGAGACTTAGTACTACTACTAACTTAAAAACCGAAAAAAGAGTATCAAGTGCTCGTAAGAATACCGATATTGAAATAAACAAGAGCTTCATAACGTGGTAATCATATTTGCGACAAGACTTTTACTTGGTAAAGATGGGCCAAGTCTACTCACTTCTAGATTGACCGGTTGGACCTGCATCGAAAACAGCTCCCATTTTATTTCTGGGAATCATCAAATGACTTCTCCCGCCCAGGAATGGGAGGGAGGTTGTGTCATATTTTTTTTTTTTTTTGCTAGTCTCTAATGTCCCACTTGCAACTGTCACTGCTGGGCAAAGGCCTCCCCCCTTCCCAGCTCGCTTCGACACCTTCCGATGTTTCGACCGTGTCAGACTTTTACTGACAAAAAAACCTCCCATTTCTTTTCCCGCTCTGGGCCGACGCCGTAGTACTTACTGCGCTTAACCCACAACCCCGGCTGAATAATAATAGGGCCCCGTCTGTGGTAGTATATGTGTCCTTAATATTTACTGATATTTAGATATTTTAAATACTCAATAATTAGCACTAATATAACAAAACAAAACTTACCAGTAGTCCCATAAGGTAGATGTATTTGTTGAGGGGGTCCTCATACCGTTCGATGGACAGCTTGCACAACTGAACCTGCTCCTCCTGACTCTTTACTCTGGCTGGGAGCAACCCGTGGATACCCAAGGTCTGACGCTCCTCAATTGTGAACGCCATACCCTGTGGACAATGGAAATTGAACATTAGACGATTAATTTAAGAGTGGAAGTTGCTTAAACTTATAGATCTGATGTTCTCTGAAGCTGATACTTTAATTTTGTAACTATTGTAGTTGGTAATTTTATCTTTAAGAGTAACAATTTGTTTGTATTTGCAAATACATCAACGATACAGGTGAAATAACCTAATGTAGGGAAACGTGTACATAATGGATCAAGATTTATATTAATTTATGTATATGTATATATAAACACAGTTATTTTGGTAGCCTTTGCAGTTTTAAGAGATCTTTGCATTCCATTTCGACTAGCGCACAAATAATTACAGAAGATTTTTCATTCTAGCTAGAAGTCTTCCGTTTATTTGGCGCGATGCCAAGATTCTACCGCGGTGATAAATTAAATTCAAAATTGGTTATCTTCTTCTTCATCCATAGTAATATAGGTACAATATAATAATAAATTCTGTTGTTCAAGTTTACTATGATAATAGATTATACACAATAGTATTGTAAACATGACAATAGTACTTAGTGAAGTAAAATCGATGAGTAGATTACGAACGCCACACTAATGTGGCGTGGAGTACTGCATGACTGCAACATGATACTTAAACCTATTTAATGACAACATTATACTGGTACGCGTTTTGTATATTAAAGATAAATCAGTTTGTTTAATAGTAAATATTCTTAATTACCATTAGCTTAGCCAGGGACGCTGTCCATTAGGACAGCTGGCTAAGCAAGTTTTGGTACCTAGCTAGATTTTTTCTTCGCGACCAGACGTTTTCATATAATTTAAAGCGATTGAAATAAGTATCAAATTATAATCAAGATAAAAAAAATGAATTGTTTAAATTAGCTTTACATTTGATTGTAAACTTTTCGGTCAACCTATTTATTGGGAATGTAGATAGGGACGTGCAATAATTTAATCAGAAAATATCCTGAGAAAGGCAACAGCGTAATATTTCCTTTATTAACTGAATGCGAAATAAATTTCGCAGAATACAACAGTATGCAGTAACTGACATTGTTCAGTACGTGATTGACTACTTCCTTCTTAACTATCGAGTCAACGCTCTGTGGTACTGCGGTGCACCGCAATGGGCATTGCACTGCGCCCACACAAAATGTATATACTTTCATCACTCAAAAGATAATTATTGATAAAATCATAAAGACCAGTTACTAAATAAATGGACAAACGTATCTAGGTATGTAAATATATAAACAAACTCCACAAACGTCGGCCCCCGGAAACGTACGATCGGCTGACAATCAGCTGAGAACTGATGACGTAACGAAGGTGACCGCTTCCAAACGACCTTCGATGCTACACCGCGACTAGTTACAGTAAACTGACTTTAATGTAATCGCCATAAGGTTTAAAGTAGTTTATCTATTGATATTATCGGGTTATATTTTACGATGGGAAAGTTTCCGCTAAATTGTTACGGGTATGACCTATAGTGGACTAGTGCTAGTTTTATTTTGATTTATCACGAGTTAGAAATACGTATAAACAACACAGTATATAACTTCCTTCCTACTCGATTAACTTGGATTTGTCACATTTCTACGGTTTCTTAGCTTCGGAAGTCATAGTTTTTCGAGTATAAACAAGTAGCTATTCCAAATAATATAACGTGAAAACTACAATCATTATTTTCTTGTTTCCACTTTGTTGAAAGGTTAATTTTCTCGAAGCTCGCCCGAGGCATCCGTGACGGAAAACTATTTGTATAAACAAATGGAAACAAAAGCTTCTGAACAAAACTAAATGAAATGAATGAATAGCTCTTAACAAGAAATAAATTAGTTTTGTAAAATTGTTGTCGAGGTGAGGCAGAGATAATTTTCTTTAATAATAAGGTGCATATGAAAGTTATTGCAGTGTCGTATATAAGTCTTATTTCTCTACCGACTACCATAAACGGAATTACTTAGGATCTTTTTGTATTAATGCAATGAAAAAAAAAAAACAATAAAATGTAACATTTTTATCAGGGGAAAATAATTAAATGACTTTTCCCGGCCGGACTAAGTGAGAGGGAGAGTTAGACTCTAGCTGACTAAAACCTGTTCCTTCGGGCAAGAAAATTTACGAAGAGGTCTCCAGTTCAACTAGAGTCGACTGAAGAAACAATGAAAGACTAACATGATATTCATGTTAGGAGATCCTGATATTGTTTATATTGATTAAATGATGATAAGTATTTGCAGTTTGCTATTACATTGTCACTAAGTCAACAGTAACGAGTGTTGCTAAAAGCCGTGCTCAAGCCGTGATAACAAACTCATTTAAGCGAGGAAAACATTGGATATGTTACGAAGTGGTCACGTTTCATAATTTTCTACGTAAACCGAAAAAATAAAACTGTTTCAAATAAAACTATGAAGCATGTTATAGTTATAGCATTTGCTTACAGATTTGACTTTAAAATTTAAGTTGCTTGTGCCAGTGGCTTACTAAAAACGGGTGATACATCAAAACATTCAATATTTCAGAATGTCGAAAAATTATTCTATTTTCTCAATTTTGTAACTAAAATTCAGTTCTCAGAAACTAACAAAGATGACGTAGAAATTTTGATTATTACAACTAAAAAGCCTAGGCGAAATATATTTACCAATACTGAATATTTAGGGTACCTCATTAAGTAACCTTATCGTGCCAACAAAACGCGGGTTCTAAAGTACTCAACCGTTTCATTTAAAAGCAATTATGGAACAAAAGACTACCCTCCCCATTTACACACGTAAAATGAAATGTGTGCTTTGAAATGAAATTAACGTGACGTCACAAGACGCACTGAGTATTTGTAAGAGCTTTGTGAAGAATTTATTACGAATGTCGAGGAACACTCCAATTCAGGACAATTTAAGACCATTAGGGTTGTGCTAACATTTGCTTAGGCCGAGCCTTGATTTGATTTGAATCCTCTTTGTAAATATAAATGTAATCATCAATTCAAATACTATTTGATTAGACGATTCTGAAGAGCTTAAACTTAAAATACAGTAGTGCATGATTTTCTCTGGAACTATTCAACGTTGCAAAAAATGTAGATTATTAAAGCGACTTAATGTCATATTAAAGATTTATCATAAAAGAAAAAAACACGACCTTTTTATTAATCAATATTTTTCTACTACACGTTTCCAACCTTTACAAGGAGTAGAATAATACTTAACCATAATGGTGTTAAAATGCAGGTTGAATATCTCCAGCCTTTTAGAAAAGATTACAGAAACGTCTACTGTCATAAAAAGAGAGTACCTAGAAAGGCTCTTTAAACCTGCTGAGGCAGCACGCCGTAGCAAGACGTGATCTGACTTCCAGATAAAAGGGTCAACACTTGCTGATTTTGTAGAAAGGAAGAAATAGGCAACTTTTAAAACTATCGACTGATCTACATAACATAGCCGAAATATAAATGAATTTAAATTAAATTAATATAATTACATATGGAAAATAAAATTTTATTTATTTTCATATTTTGTTTTTTTTATATTATTTATAAATTTATTTTCTCTGTTATATTTGAATTTAATTTGATTGTTCTTACACTTCACGACCCATACTTGCTTTTATAAATTTCCATTTAAAGGAAGAAATAGCCTAGTACGAGTAAGATTAAGTTGATAAGACCGCCCATTGTAATCACAACAATCTTTTATTGTGGTGTGCAATAGGGTTTATATATATAAATAAATAAGTGAAAAATAAAATATATGTGAACTTGTATCGTCAAGAATAGGTATTTAATAAATCGTATGGATCCAGTGAAAATGGGACTAATGACATAACGTGGCTACGACATCTAGCTATCGTATTGAGAAAAGATGGATGCGACGTTAAGTACTGACGGAGATCGATGTTGAAGTCAACATTAAGTGTAGGTGCTTAACATTTTCCTGCGCATAAAGATCTCAGATAATGTACTGTCGCGTTAAAATTTCATCCTTCTATTTACATTGTTTGTGTATGTCACATTAGATGAATAAGTTACCTATTTATTAGGTCTCATAGAATGTCAAAGATCTGTAATGTAACAAACCCGAGAATCAATAGCAGCAAGACATTCTGGCACCGCGTACAAATCCCTGCGAGGTGTGAGATGCCACCAATCCCTTTCCATTTCTCACTGAGGTCCACTTATGGTCACTAAAGCACCATCACTTTACATCAAGGCCACACTTTACGTCACACAAACCACTTATTCAAAATTACGTCACCGTTCAACGTTCGCAAGAATAATGTTCATTTTTATTGACTTTTTCTTGTTTATCAAGACCATACTTTATAATTAGCTATAACAAGTATTTTTCTGTATTAAACACATGCTGTATTTTCATGGTTATTTTCAATCTATCTCACTTTAAACTCATTTATACGAACATAGCTTTATACTTTATCTATATAGAACGCTTTTCAATTTTCAGCGTCGCTGACGGCCGTCGGCGACTGCATTTGAAGTGGAAGGAAGTCTAATGGCTAGAACAGCCATTATTATTTATTTATTGGGAATGCGGTAGCATTAACGATCAATACTTCAATAACTGTAGATACATCATGTCTATTCTTTACGACGTATGTAAGGAAAATGTAGGGCAAATGTCTCTGACACGTAAGGGTATTATGATTTTCACGTTATGGCTACGACAACCCACTTATTCCGTTTTTAATTTACAAATATTCATGTAGCTATGACTGTTTTATATTATTTACTCAAAAAGTTTATATCAAACAACCACATTTTAAACAAACCTAACATAATTTTATAATGTGATTTATCTAATTAGGTACCTTATCTAAGTGATGGTACGAAATGCAAAAAAATACGCGGATAGGTTATTTATTACAAATTATTTCCTACATATTTTCTTATTTGTATCCAGCCATAACAATATTATTTACGCTTCTAATTTTTTTTTTGCGTACCAGCTTTTCAACCGACTGACTGAATTATGTAAATTTATTTGATTTCATATG